TCTCCTATTCCTATCTGGGCCCCCAGACTCCCTCAACCTCCTTCCAGATGGAAAAACCGCCTCCCTTTCTTTTTCCTCCCTTTTTTTTTTTCCTGGCTGGGACCCAAACTACTTTAGCCCCTTAAACCTCTCAAAGTCAAGGAATAAGTGTCCTGGGGCAGGTCTTTGAAACCCCAGAATTCAGATGCGAATCAGTCTCTTCTCCTGGAAGGAGCCATCTGGGTGGCTCTCCTCTACCTCTTCCTCGCCAGAGTGAAGACCCTTCTATTTCCCTGCTCACCTCCAGGCAGGGAGAGAAGAGGCCCTCAGAATGGGCCAGGCAATGTGGGAAAGAAGGGAACAGATCCTGGGGAAGGGCAAGAAAGGGAGGAACCTCTGAAGCTAGAAGCAGCTGCTTCATCACCTTTTCCTTCCACAGGAGCCTGAATATGCCACAGCACTTACCACCTATCCTAACATCCTCAAGAATAGGCTTGTCTGCTCCTCTTGTGGCAGGTGAGGACAGGGCCTCCCCCCTACCTCTCCTAGGGCAGCAGGTGTGAAATTAATCTATAAGCTCAGATATGCGAGAAATACTACATTTTGAACGTTCTTTAAATGAACCTAATTCCTACTCCAACCTATTGCACTAGAGTGCTGATGAGAAATTCAACATCAGGCACTTTCGGGGGATCCCATCTGCCAAGGGTTATGCAAAGGTCACAGAAACCTCAAGGTCCAGGGGAGGCCTCCAATCTGCCTCCCCCGCCATCCCATCATTGGACATCAGTCTCACCAGTGGGTGCTCTGACCCCTGTGGTTCCAGCAGGTATATCTTTTCAAGTCCTAGACTCCACACTTGAGACATGGGAATTCAGATATGACAGCCCTTGGGCTTGGACCTACCCTCCCCAGATACGCCCTGCAGCCATCTACTCAGAGTCCTGTCCCTTGCCTCATCACAGCCAGAAATTAGAGCCCAGTGCCCACTCTGGTTGGATGTACACACTAATCCCTTCACAGTCTTAAAGAATTCTCTCCCTTTCCTCAGCCACTCCATGGCGTAACCTCCTCCACAGGTTTACTTTTTCTTTTAATTTTTATTTTTTTAAGACAGGCTTGCTCTGTGGTCTGGGCTGGAGTGCAATGGTGGGAGCATAGCTCACGGTAACCTCAAACTCCTGGGCTCAAGGGATCCTCCTGTCTCAAGCTCCAAGTAACTGGGATTACAGGTGTGAGCCTCTATGCCTGGCATTTTCCCCTGGTTTAAGACATTCACAAAAGGCACAAGAGCCTTTGACATCGGGCTCACTTTGACATCAGGACATCACTCTCAGCCCTGCCAAAACTCTTGCCTACTCTAAAGTGAAAAGAAAAACAGAGGCAGAAAAAAACCAAAACTCCCTATTTCACTAAATTCTCCTGCCACACTTGCATGCCTGGTATTTGCCTCAAATTCTGCTCTGAGTAGCCATGCAATATATTATTTAATTCGTCAGATAATGAGTGACCACTCTCCTTGTCTGCCTTCATCTTTGACAATATCATCCTGTTTTTTCTCTTTTTTCTCTTCTTCTCTTGATGCATAATTCAAAAAAAATCACACAATACATACTCACAGTTAAAAAATCTATCAAAAAGTACCAAAAGGCTTATTCTGAATAACATCATTTCCTACAACTTTAACTCTTATGCTATTTCTTAGTGCCATATGTCTAAGTACTTTGCCTATACCTCTGTTTCTTGATTTACCTATTTTAAACATTACCAGATGACTTCCTACTATAAAAAGTGAAGATTTAACTCTCTTGCCAACTCTCCTCTCCTGTCACTGCATCCTCTAAATATAGTCATACCATGATATTTAGATCATGGTTATATTATCATATTTAGATTGTAATTACAGTATATTATTGTGGATTACTATTACATAACATGTATTATCACATATTACATTTTTTGACTATATAAATATTCTCTGCAGACCAAAGTAGTGTACTTTTCCTTTGTCACTCAGCTTTTTGTTTTTCTTAAAGGTTCTAATGCCCTTCCCTTTTAAAAAGTACCTCTATCTTGACATTGCCTTTCAAATTCTTCATCATATAAGATGGATTTAAAACATAAATGTTTAAGATACACATAGAAGAAATATAGGTAGATGTGTTTATAACTTCAAGGTATAAAAGAACTTTGTTTTTTAATAAAATAGGGACACAGTCTCACTATGTTGCACAAGCTAGTCTTGAACTCCTGGGCTCAAATGATCCACCCGCCTCAGCCTCCTGAAGTGCTGGAATTACAGGCATGAGACACTGTGCCTGGCCAAAAAGAGCTTCTTAAACAAGACATGAAACCATAAAACATGAATCATAAGAGAAAAGATCAACACCATTAAATTCAAAACAAGTGGGAGTTCAGGGTAGGGATGGAAAATTAATTACATGCCTTTATTTTCACATCTCCCTGAGCCCCAAGTAAAACTGCAGCAAATGTTTTTGGTGCATGTGCATATATAAAGGCATAAACCAAGTTCAGGTATGGTGGCTCACACCTGTAATCCCAACACGTTGGAAGGCCAAGACAGGAGGACCGCTTCAGTTCAAGAGTTTCAGACCAACCTGGGCAACACAGTGAGACCTCATCTGTACAAAAAAAAAAATCAAAAAAGTAACCAGTGTGGTGGTGTGTGCCTGTGGTGCCAGATGCTACAGAGGCTGAGGTGGGAGGAGCACTTGAGCCCGGGAGCCATGTAGCCTGGGTTAAAAAGTGAGAGACCCTGTCTTAAAGAAAACAAATTAATTTTAAAGCAATAAAATAAAGGCATAAACCCACAAGGGCCCAAATGGAAGAGGAGATAAAGGTAACTTTCTAAAAGCCTACTGCTGAGACAAGTAAATATTTCAATAAAAATAGGTACAAGCCAGGCGCGGTGGCTCACACCTGTTATCCCAGCACTTTAGGAGGCTGAGGCGGGCAGAGCACCTGAGGTCAGGAGTTCAAGACCAGCCCAGCCAACATGAAGAAACCCCATCTCTACTAAAAATACAAAAATTAGCTGGGTGTGGTGGCATGCACCTGTACTCCCAGCTACTCAGGAGGCTGAGGCAGTAGAATTGCTTGAACTCGGGAGGTGGAGGTTGCAGTGAGCCGAGATCGCACCATTGCACTGCAACCTGGGCAACAAGAGCGAAACTCTGTCTCAGAAAAAAAAATAGGTACAAAGCAATATGAAGTATTTCTAATGTTTTATTCATGAATACAGTAAAAAATTCACATTTACTGAATATTCATATGGCAGTGTCCAACAGGAAAACAATTAATAACTTCTGCTAAAATGTAAAAACAAAAAAATCCTGAAAATGAATTATATCTAAAAATCTACAAAATCTTCATTCCTTAAGCATGAAAACTTATTGTAATCCCTGGAATCCTGACTTTTCTTTATCACGGAATCACAGACGCACTTCATTGCTTTATAAGTCAGTTATCACTATTTTCTTTTTTTTTTTTGAGACGGAGTTTCACTCTTGTTACCCAGGCTGGAGTCCAATGGCGCGATCTCGGCTCACCGCAACCTCCGCCTCCTGGGCTCAGGCAATTCTCCTGTCTCGACCTCCTGAGTAGCTGGGATTACAGGCACGCGCCACCATGCCCAGCTAATTTTTTGTATTTTTAGTAGAGACGGGGTTTCACCACATTGACCAGGATGGTCTCGATCTCTTGACCTCGTGATCCGCCTGCCTCGGCCTCCCAAAGTGCTGGGATTACAGGCGTGAGCCACCACGCCCAGCCCAAGTTATCACTATTTTCTAACAATGAGTCCTCCTCAGTGTCATTCAGAAAACTATAATCCCATGTATTTTTGTTGTTTTTATTTGTTCCTTTTTTGAGATAGGGTCTCACTCTGTCACCCAGGCTGAACCAGTGGCTTGATCTCAGCTCATTGCAGTCAATCTCCTGGGCTCAAGTGATCCTCCCACCTCAGCCTCCTGAGTAGGTAGGACTACAGGCACACACCACCATGCCCAGCTAATTTTGTTCACTTTCTGTAGAGATGAGATCTCACTATGTTACCCAGGCTGGTCTTAAACTCCTGAGCTCAAAGGATTCTCCCACCTTGGCCTCCCAAAGTGCTGGGATTACAGGCATGAGCCACTGTGCCTGGCCATACCATGTTTTTAAGTAATTCCACCACTATCTCTTCCAGGAAATGATAACATACACACACTTAAAGAAATCACAGGATGACTCCTACTTGTCAATGTTGCCTCAGAATCTCCTCCTGCTTCTCCCGGTTCACTCCTTCCTCGTCAATATTTTAAAGGCTTCTTTGATACAAATATAAAGGATAGGTAGGACTAGTAAAGAAGCTGGGCATGGTAGCTCATGCCTATAATTACAGCACTTTGGGAGGCTGAGGCAGGCAGATGGCTTGAAGCCAAGAGTTTGAGACCAGCCTAGGCAACGCAGCAAGACCCCTGTCTCTACACAGGAAAGGAAAGGAAAAAGGGAAGAAGGGAAGGGGAGGGGAGAGGAAGGGAGGGGAGGGGAGGGAAGGGGAGAGGAGGGAAGGGGAAGGGAGAGGAGAGAAAGGAAGGGAAGGGAGGGGAGGGAAAGGAGGGGAGGGAAGGGGAGGGGAGGGGAGAGAAAGGAAGGGAAGGGAGGGGAGGGAAAGGAGGGGAGGGAAGGGGGGAGGGGAGAGAAAGGAAGGGAAGGGAAAGGAAAGGGGAAAGGAAAAAGGAAAGGAAAGATCAGTCAGGTACAATAGCACGTGCCTATTGTCCTAGCGACTTGGAGACTGAGGTGGGAGGATCATTTGATTGCCCAGGGGTTTGAGGGTGCAGTGAGTTATGATCACACCACAGCAGCCTGAGTGACAGAGCAATACCCCATCTTAAAAAAAAAAAAAAAAATTAGAGCAAATAGATTTTAACTTCAGGCCAGGAGCCAGGCTCATACCTGCAAATCTGAGCACTTTGAAAGGCTGAAGTGGGAGGATCTCTTGAGCCCAGGAGTTTGAGGTTGCAGTGAAAAACAGGCAAACAAACAATCTTAACGGCCTCAGTCAGTCCTATAAACCTGAAACCAATTCCAAAATAAGCAGTTGGCTCAGCATGGTGGCACACACTTATAATCTCAGCACTTTGGGAGGTAGAGGTGGGAGAATGGCTTGAGCCCAAGAATTTGAGACCAGACTGAGCAACATGGTGAGACCCTGTCTCTACATTTTATTACAAAAATTTTTTTTAAGTAAAAGCAAGTTTGTTAACAAAGTAAAGGAATAAAAGAATGGTTGCTCCATAAGCAGAGTAGCCTACAAAAAACTTCTTTAGAGTAGGCAACTAGGTTTCTTAAGAACCCCTCCCTTCATGATACCTGGGCCACCTTTGGCTGGCCGCAATTCCTGCTCATCAACCATGTTCTTTTAGAAGGATATGATTACCAACAACTGTTGGCATCTTTCTTTTGATATCTTTCTGTTAAAAATTAAAAATTAAGGCCGGGTGCGGTGGCTCAAGCCTGTAATCCCAGCACTTTGGGAGGCCGAGGCGGGTGGATCACGAGGTCAAGAGATCGAGACCATCCTGGTCAACATGGTGAAACCCCGTCTCTACTAAAATACAAAAAAAAATTAGCTGGGCATGGTGGCGCGTGCCTGTAATCCCAGCTACTCAGGAGGCTGAGGCAGGAGAATTGCCTGAACCCAGGAGGCGGAGGTTGCGGTGAGCCGAGATCGCGCCATTGCACTCCAGCCTGGGTAAAAAGAGCAAAAACTCCGTCTCAAAAAAAAAAAAAAAAAGTTAAAAAAAAAAATTAAAAATTATGGGCTGGGTGCAGTGGCTCACGCCTGTAATCCCAGCACTTTGGGACACTGAGGCGGGTGGATCACGAGGTCAGGTGTTCAAGACCAGCCTGGCCAACAAGGGTGAAACCCCATCTCTACTAAAAATACAAAAATTAGCTAGGCATGGTGGCGCATGCCTGGAATCCCAGCTACTCAGGAGGCTGAGGCAGGAGAATTGCTTGAACCTGGGAGGCAGAGTTTGCAGCAAGCTGAGATCACACCACTGCACTCCAGCCTGGGTGACAGAGCAAGACTCCATCTAAAAAAAAAAAAAATTAAAAATTACGGGGCTACCAGAACAACACATTTGATACACTAGGTATCCTCTACCGTGCCAGATGACCTCGTGAAAGTCAGAGGGGTGGGGTCTGTCACTTGTTGTCTATGAAAGGTCATATTAATTCGTTTCCCAGCTGTAATCACTTACCTGTGAAACACGCCTTAAGCTTCAGCTGGCATCCTTTGTGAAGTTGCTTTTCTTTTTCACATCCGGGTGTTACTTCTCCTTGTATCTGGGGACAAAATGATGCTGTTTTGTTAAAATCATCAAAATTTTTATCCTTTGCCTGATTCAGTCTTGGGCTGGATGCTGAAATTGCCTTTTTATGGATGCTGAAATTGCCAAGCCTCTTTTTTTCTAACGCCTGTATTTGCATATCTTTTTTTGAGAACAGGGTCTTTCTCTGTTGCCCAGGCTGGAGTGCAGTGTGCAATAATAGCTCACTGCAGCCTCCAATTCTTGGCCTCAAGGGATCCTCCAGCCTCGGCCTCCCAAAGTGCTGGGAATACAGTCATGAGCCACTGCGACAGGCCTGTATTTGTAATGCTTCTAGTAGTGTCTACTTTAAGGGGAATTATATGACCTTGTGACCTTGGTAACCTAAGCCTATTGCTATGTCAAGCAGCTGAAAGCTCCATTGTCTTCAATCAGTTGGCAGCAAACTAAAACACCCCAGAGAAACTGTTACCATATTCTTTGAGACTTCTGCTTTAGAACCATGGGTTGTGGTAATAATAAATTTCAACAAATATTAAGAGAATAACTGAACACCACTTTCGAAGGCCTAAGCAGCCAGCGCCAGCTTCTGCTGGGAATATCCCCCGCCCAACGTGAGCCTCCGCCGGCTGGGAGGCGCTCACTGCCCCGCTCGGCCACTAGGGGGCAGCAGTCTGTTCTCTAAAAGCAAACCAGGCGTGGGCGTTGAATTTTCTGTTGTTTCATCTTTCTGGGACTAATTTGTTTTCCATTATTTTTATGATTTGTCCTCACATATGTCTCATTCTAGGCCAAAAGTTGTGCGTTCCTCTGTGTCCACTTATGAGCAAGACAAGGTCCTTTTCCGCCTGTGTCAGGCTATCGCCCTTCATTCTCCTGCCCGAGCCTTGCGCCTTGCACACGGTTAGCATCTCAATACATTTCCGTGGAATAAGGAAACCTTTCGTAGCGTTGGTGCTGTAATGTCGTGTAAGATATCTATCGGGTGCGAGAACTGCGTGAGGTGATGTGGACCTTCGTTCAGACTTTAAGCCAAACAGTAATTATTTCAAGTCTTCAACATTGGGCACCTTGGACTCTGGGTAAATCGGGAATATTTGGGGCGTGAGAGGGAAAGATAAATGCTTCATGTTCGCCGACAAACACGGGCCTTCCCCCGGCCACAGGGCTTGGCCGGTCCCGCAGAGGACCCGGGGCTCGGGGGCCTGGGTGGCCGGGGTTTGGCGGGACAGCGCGGCCACCACCCACAGCCCGAGCCTCCACTCCATACGCCCGGCCCGCGCGCGGGGACTCCAGGGACGGCGGGGCCAGGGAACCGGGGGTCTCCAGAGGCTGTTCCAGACCCAGGGATTTCGGACGCCTGTGCCCCCCAACCTCTCTGAGGAGCACGCGAAGTCACCGCCGCACGCGCCCACCCCTCTGCCGGAGCCGCGCCCCACTCCAGAGCCTCCCTTCCCAGGCTCGGGGCGCCCCCTGCAGACCCAGGAGGGGAGACGCATGGGCACGCTCACGGGGGCGGTCACACATCCGTACATACACCCCAGTCGCGCACAGCCCCACAGGCACAGCTCGGAATACGCAAATTCATGCTTGTGGCACGCACTTACTAAGCATCTACTCAGAGTCCTCTACAATCATTCACCCACCCCCACCGCCACCGCCACCACGGACTTGGTTGATTTCCCAGGCCCATCTGCCCCCACTCCCCTTCCCCAATAGCTAGTTACCCCACATTCAGGATCTCCTATCCCTGGGGCAGGGATTTGGCCGGTCCCGCAGAGGACCCGGGGCTCGGGGGCCTGGGTGGCCGGGGTTTGGCGGGACGGCGCGGCCACCACCCACAGCCCGAGCCTCCCCTCCATACGCCCGGAGCAAGAAAGTTGGGTAGGCTCCTTGGAGGAGGATGAGGCTAAGATGGGCTGAGTGAGCTGATCTGCCCTAAGCTGGAACAAGATTCCCAGGGTTCAGGCTGAACCAAGAACCCTGTAAAATCTATTTGGCTGGGAAGAGGGTGAACACAGCGAAGCACGTAGCGCTGATGGCTCTGTATCTGTGGTCAGAGACTGTTTCAAACACCTCCCTGACCTCCAGTCCCTCACCCCCATTGGATTATCTAAACCAACAGCTGTGGATAGGTGCCTTAAACCCTTCGTCCACCGGGCCCGTGTCCTTTCCCTTTTTGCAATGAGAGTGGGTACCTTCTTAACACCCTGACTGCCACCTCCTTCCCTGATTCCTCTTTTCCTTCATGTTGGCGAGGTCCAGGACCTAGAACTTGGACCTCTTCTATCTACCCTCACTCTCTTGGCAACCTCATTGTCTTTTGACTATAAGTACCATCCATTTACTCCCAGATTTGTTTCTTCAGCTAGAATCTCTTCCCAGGACTCCAGACTCATCCCAGCCACCTACCTAACATTTCCATTAATATGCCCAACATGCAACTTCAACCTAAGTCAATGCCAGGGTTCTGATCTGCAAACAAACCCACTCCTCTTCAGTCATCCTCATCTTGTTAACTAAAATTCTATCCGAGTTTCTCAAGTCAAAAACCTCGTAGTATTCTCTCTTCTTCTTTCTCTCATATCCTATGCTGAACCCCTCAGCAAAATTTGTTTCCAGAATCTGAGCACTTCTCACCAACTCCAAGCACCATCATCTCCTCTCTGGGTTGCTGCAACAGCTTCTACCCTGGTCTCCTTGGTCAATTCTCCATTCAACGGCTAAAGAGAGTTTATGTCAGATCATGTCACGTTTTTGTTCAATACCTGCCAATGGCTCCCCATCTTACTCAGCAGAATATAACAATAGCCTTCAAAACCCTGTGCTATCTGGTCCCTGTTATTATCTGATTGTTATTATCTACTACCACCCTCCCTTTTTGGCCTCCTTGCTATTCTTCCAACACACTCTTGCCTCAAGCCCTTTGCCCTTGCTGTTTTCTCTACTTAGGACATCTTCCCCCAGATCTCAGCATGGATTTCTCCCTCACCTTCTTCAGGTCAGGTCTCTGCTCAAATGTCATTAGTGAAGGTTTTCCTGACTGCCTTATTTAAAATAACACCCTCCCTCAATACTCCCTATCCCTCTTGCCTTCTTTATTTTTCCTCATAGCCCTTATTGCCATTTTGTTTGCTTAATTTTCTTTCTCTTTCATTAGCATAACAACTCTGCAAGAGCAGGAACATGTGTCTGTTGTGCTTAATGCAGTATATCAGTGCCAAGCACAGTGTCTGGCACACAGGAGGCCCTCAACAAATATTTATTGAATGAATGTGGAACAAATGCCTTGTTTTATTATTATTTCATTACTTCACCCTTTCCTGCTGATTCTCAGGATCTTTCCCAATAGGCACTCCAGGCAGAAGGTATTGAAATTGAATTGAAACCTCTCTGCCAGCTTTGCACTATATGATTGTGTTATTTAGGATCTTGTCAGGAAACAAATGTCATGCTCAGAAAGGTTAATGGAAAAGAATTTAGTGAAGGGACCACTTACAGAGGTGACAGCAAGGTTGTTGTAGGCAGCCACTGCACCTGAATTAGTGTAGCTCCAAACCTCAGACCATCTCCTCTTCTAGGCAAAGTGTACGCTAGGTGTACTGTCCCAAATTCTGCCCACTGAGAGGACTTCCCTTAACCACTGTCTTTCAGGGACATCCCTGGATTGGGGCTGTAATCAGCTGTCTCTTCCAGCTAATGCCAGCATACCTTACAGACCCTCTGTTAACTGTTTGTAGAGAACATCTCCATGAAGCCATAAATGTGATCGGAGGAAGGAGCAGAAAACAACACAAGTAGGAATCCAAGCCATCTGGCCATGCTTTTATTTAAACTTTCTGAAACTTCTAAGGTCTGGTCTTATATATACAATCCATTTCATAATGAATATTACTGTTCATATCCAACTATAGGATTTGCTTAGATAGCACCCTTAGGTCACATTGTCACTGGATGAACTATAATCTGAGTTTTAGACCAGGGCCCCAAGGCATATCAGGAGCTGCTTTTCAAATAGAAAAGAATTGTTAGCAGAAGAAGCATGGCCTTATTCCATTACACTAAGGTTCTTTGCTGTAATTCTACTGGGGCTCCTACAGCCCCCTTATCTGCCACAGACAACGTAAAGTTCACTGGATTTGTGGTTCATTCGGCCAGAGCAACAGGGCAACTTTCCGTGGAGCCTGGACCTCATTCAAAACTGTCAGCTTTATAAGCTTTATGCAATATCCAGTCAACATTTTACAGTAGTACATATAAATACTGTATATATTGCCTCTAATACCCAAAGTGCTCTTTAACATTATGCCCTAGATGACTATTTTTCAGTTTGTCCCCATCTCCATAGCCTAGAAATTTCACCACATCTTGAAAAACACTAAGAGGAAGATTTATAGAATCCGCCTGTGAAAGAGATCCAGGATCTCCCAGCCCCCCACCAATCGAGAGGATTCAGTTCTGGGAAACTGGCTTAAGTCTAGGAATTGAGTAAAACTGTAAATCCTTAATATAACTTGAGAATCAAGTTTCTGCTTATCAGGTCTAGAATTTTTCCATTTATATGGGTGAAGTAGAACATTAGTAAGCTGTCTGTCTATTTCATTACTAGGGACACCATGATTGATTAGCCACCCACACATATTCCTATGGGCAAAGCACATGATTACCACTCATCCCTACAGCTTTCATAGTAATTTCACCCACCTTATCACTCATGGTTAGGTGCTAACACCTGTCCTCTACCACGCAAGAATTCTATCATTCACCTTGAAATAAGGCTGCCCAGTCCCAAGAGAGCACCTCACAATCCCATTTCTAGCCTAGTAAAGAAGCCACATAGTGCTTTTCAAGGAGTTAGCATTCCCCTCACTAATGTGTTCTTGCTGCCTTGGAGAAGAGAGTATCTTTCTGGACCCTTAGGAGGTGTACAAAATAGGTAACTTCAACATTCATTTCTAACCTTTGTACCTCCTCCTCTACTTTACTATTTAAAGTATAGTCCAAGGACCACAGCAT